GTTGGTCACAGCAAGTTGAAAAACCGATCCCACTGAGTCTCAAACTGTAGTACACACCTTCTACATTTGGTAAAGAGAAATCTAGAAGATTGGAGGTCCTAGAATATGGACTTTATAGCTGCATTTGGGCATCCCTGGTATTAATTTTCCACAATGCTGCCTATTTCATCCCAGGACACCTTGGACGAGATCTTTTATTTAACTCAAAAACTTCCATTTAATAGTTAAACACAGTCATTGTGTCTGAAGTTTTCCTTGTGTATGGTATATGAATTCACCTTAACTTCACTTTCATGGGCTAAAGTTGGCAGCTGTGTTCCTTGTTCTGCTCTGTAGCCTTGGTGAGCTCGGAGTAACATCACATAAACCATTTCTCTACTTCCTACAGGTTCTGGTCAGGTTCTCACAGGTCAGCGAGCCAGGCAATAGATAAAACTGGCATTTGGTTAGAAGCGGCTGAACACTGTGATCAGCTATTTGTCTGATCACAAACAGCGTTGTTCTGTCAGACATAAAATACTAACCTCAGTCTCCAAATAAAGTCTATGTGTGGAAAACACTGAAAATACAAAATTCATCATGCATGATTGCCCCTTTTTTCAATCTGAAATAGCTAAAGCCTGTCTAACTTTGATTTAAATCAAATTAGATTCCTGTAGGTGTACCCATTGTCCTGACTGTGATAGAAGCCTTTGGTCTTTTCATCAGTTACTTATTAAACACCACCTACAGAAACAGGACACAGAGGCACTCTTATCTGTGCGAGTGTAAACAGCAGCTACACAGTCACAACCAAACGCTCAAACTGACAAAATTACAGCTCCCTGTACCCTTATCCTCCTATTAGGACACCCCACCAAGGCAGCTTTAGTCTTGTACTGTAATCCTAAAAGCTTTGTTAAAGGCAGACAGGCTAACAAGTGAATGCACTCATCCTATTACAATAAGCTTGTTGAAGGCTAGTGAGACTCATGAGAAGTGATTTCCTCCTAATGCATCCAAATTTTCAAGGCGACCATATATGCTTGCAATAAGCAGAACTATTTTAACTTCTTTAAAGTACAAGTCCAAAGGCAAATGCTTGTTTGATGATGTTAAATCAGTAGGCTACCAACAGGCTGCCAGCTGGATGTATGCCATATCATTCTGTGCTATTTGGCATACACTGGGGTCCTTTGAATTGTGCTTGAGCTTGGCACTCGCTCCCCATTCTTTTTCCCTGTGTTTTTCCAGATGCATATTGACACAGGGGTAAGGCTGGGAGGGCTATGATTAGTCGGCCCAAAATTAAAGTCTCTCTTCCCACATGCCAGCTTACTGACAGGCCAACTCTGCAGGGAAGGATGGAGAAATTACAAAGTCATTTCTCCTCATCTCTCCTCTCCACTGCTGGGATCCATCACCAAAAAAAGGAAGGGGCTCACGCGTCTGACAGATGAAAGCTTTTAAACTTCAATCACTATTGAGGTGAATGAGGCAGGGAAGGAGAACTAAATGAGCGAGGCAGGCCAGTACGGTGACACCATGCACCCACCGTTCCCACATCACACACACTCCAATTAATTGCTTGTCGACTCAGAGTTTCTGTGAGGAAAGCTGCAATAATAAGTGGCAATAAACACTTTAACACTTGTATTTGCCCCCAAAGCACAGCACCCCATAAATGGGAGAGCTATTGAGCATGGACTTGCTAAAAGAGACAGTTGACGTTGACTTTGGTTTTCTATTATTGCCTCAAATCCACCACCAGCTAAAAACAACATAGAAAGGAAAGCAAGCCAGGTCCCTTAGATCAGAGATGTTTTAGAAGCAAGCAGTTGGTCAAATTTGACTGCTAACCCAAGTAACATTTGGTAACGATCCCAACTCTGACCTAGATAGTTAAAGTATGCAATTTTGCTTTCCATTAAACAGTTCTCCCAAAAAATTTCCCTAATTGATATTTTAAAAAGTATCCACTTTTTTTCCCCAGATTACAGGTTAAGATAGGGTTAGGGTTAACGTCTTTGGCTGTGACCTGCGTCCGATCCAGTGGGTTAGGGTTGGCAGATAGCATAGACAAAGGGAAGCTAGTAAAACAACATCAACAGCATCAAAAACAACAGCAATGCATTGATTATCACTAAACTGCTGTATAGTTAGACAGTCATTACTTTTTCCAAAATGTCACTGCAGTTTTGTATGTTTTATGTTTAGTATCAATCAACACTGTTCCACTGTTTCAAACTGCCACAACTGCAGCAAGGGAAAAAAAAAAGAAGATTTATCTAGAAAAAATATGCCTGAGCTAAATTTGGCTGATCTCCATTCAAGATCATCTTCTTGTGCATTTCTGTACTATTTTTCTGAGCTTCTACCATTTGTAGGTCACTTTGTAGAAGTCCCCGTATGCCCCTTTGTTCTTGCACTAGATCTCCACCAGTGTGTCAGGACAGTCTTAGAACTTGGGTTTCATTTTCGGGAAGTAGAAAAATTGCAGGAAGGCAATTCTGACAAACAGGGCAGGTGGTGAGTGATGACTGCGTTGGACAAAAAATCTTTTCAATGGCACTCTGGTATGCATCACAATAGGTCATTTCTGCTGAGTTTTTTACAGTAGATCTCCACACTTGACAGCTTCACCCTGGAGCAGGAATTCATGGTGGGACATGACCCCAGTAAAAAAAAATTATAGAAGCCACACTTAAAAATTTTGGGGCATGCCAGAGAAGATCATCAAACTAATGTATAAGAAAAACCATAGAACTATCAATTGCAGTTTTAAGGTATTTGACTAAAATGTTGTATACATTCACAGCTAAGTTGATACAGAAGATTAATTTTGAGAGCCTGTGACAATGACAAGTTTGCTCTTTATCGGGCGTGCCATTTTGACCTGAAAAAAAAAATGCCATAGTTATCATCACTGTCCTGCATATTGTTTAAAGCAGCCTGTACAAAGCCAGAGACAAAGTATTTTTAGCATGGAGATTGGTGAAGGTAAAACCTCATGGCTGGCCTCTTTAGTAATAAACAGTGTTCCCAACACTGTTTAAACTGAGAAGTTCCAATCAGTGAACACCATCATAAACCAATACAACATAAAACAACATAAACCAATAAAAACAAAAAAAGCATAAATTAATACTACTCCACCCCAAAAAATTATTTGAATTCCTCTGAATGCATGAGGACAATGTTTACTCTAAACCAACCTGTTGGGTTTATTTCCAGAATACCGAACAAAGCTCCACTACAGGAGCCCTAATTAGTTTTTCTTAGTATTATTAAGAGTAAATCAAGATTCCTTATTTCTATTTCAGCAAGGACTGCAGTATGTGTTGTTACTGTATCATAGAAAATCCTGAGCTGGGAAACTAGCAGACCTAGCTGAGTTGTGATATCTATTTTATACCTGCATACTGGCTCTTCTATATCCACACTGGTTAAACAAAAATAGTATATACTGCATGCTTCAGTAGTACACAATAGATGTCTGTACAAACCTCACCAAATGCCGGGCACTGAAGCACTGCCGGGCCACCCGAAACCCTTGCAGCTGCTAGCATTGGTCCTGTTATTGTGCACTCACTTCACAACCACATGAGGACAAGTGAGAGATATCGAGCATTTGTGTTGTCATTCCAGGGTTGTGTTAGAAAACCTCTGACTTCAGGGTGGAGTTGCCCTAACGCTGACCTGGACTGTTTAATAACTGTCTGAGTACTGCCAGCTGTATAAAGCTAAATGGATAAGAAGATGAAAAAAACAGTTCTGTTAGTGTACACAGTGACAAAGTGACTATTTTTGACTAAATAGGTTGATTTACCGTTATCCTGCTGTTGCAACCAAGTCTAGAGAGCCAGAGTTTGTTGTCTCAAAATCTCAGGCAGGCAAAGATAAGGGTAATAATTTATCCCCTAACTGCTCCAAGTGTACAGTAAGAGTAACCCTCCAGCTCAGAATTATGCAGCAGTTTTTCTGAGCACTGTTGAAAGTACTCTGATTTTTAAAGATTATTTTCAGAGACGGATACTGCACATGTTGTTGATGTATGTGGATCTGCTGTCTAGCAACAATGAGGTAATAAGAAACAGACTTGCTTTTAAGCTCCATGCCAGAAAGAAAGGAATTGGGTTGCATAATAGGGGGTAATTACAAAATGAAAACCGATAAAATGGTGAAATATCTGAAAAAAGCACTACTTGTGCTTGTAAAGTACAATGAGCTTTAATTACATTATTTGTTAAGAGCACCTTCCATTGGTTCACCTTTAATAGGTGAACCAATGAAAGGTATTCTTCTGTCAATTGTATGATAACACCACCAAGTTTCACTGGTGGCAGCAATGAAGTCAGCCCAAAAGCTGAGTCTAGTTATATCAGTTTAACTACTGTTACACATCATTATGAGGTCAAACTCTTGAAGACCAGAATCACCAAAACAGATTGCTTTCTCATTTATAAAGGGATTCATTTCTGTAGTCAGAGCTACATTAAATTGCCAGATGACTGAACGGAGTCCGGCATAAAGTCCATATACTACATAGACACTTAACACGCGACCACAACCCTAATGACACTGCGAGGAGCCAACTGTCTCTCCGCAGTCTCTTCCCCGTGCCCTCTTTCAGCATACCTTTTAGAAACATTATTCATTTGTGGCCTTTTTCTGCGCTTGCGTATGTGCTGAACGGCGCACGTGCGCCAATCTGATGCATGCACACAGATTTCTACAATACACACTCTGAACTACAACAGAAGAACAATAAAAGCTGGCAAGGAAGCCAAAACAAACGTTATCGACCGGTAATCTTTGTTAGTGAGTACACTAGCAGCCCCGGAAAAATCATGCTGTTCTTGGCTTTCAGTTTGAACGTCGTGGAGATCCCACTGTACAAGAGATACATCGTAAGAAAGTCGCTTTTAACAAACTTCCATTTTAATAGGTTTATTGCTGCTAGAAAACCAAGCTGCATTCATTTTTTCACGGGAAAAAAAAGGACAGCTTAAGCCACTCACCCCTGCTGGAAGTGAAAAGAATGGGCTCGCTCCTCATCTTAAAGTCAAGCTCATCTATAATCCCCCGTCCCGAGCAGGCGCGTGCCCAGCGGCTTCCTGGCAGCGGTAAAATCCACACAGGCACGCAGTTGTCTTCTATGCCTCCTCTTTCTACCTCCGACTGTCCTTTTCCTAGCTAACCGGCGGCCACTGAAACGTCTTTTTTTCCCTTTCAAAGTTTTTCCCCGGATTTTTCTCCTACTCCCTCCCTGTGCCTTCTCTCCTCCCCTCTCCTTAACCTCCCCTCTCTACGCGCCCCCTTCTCTCGCTCTCTTTCGCTCGCTCGCTCCCAATCTTCCTGCACTGATAGCTCTGCTGGATTTATGAGATTTTCCCTTTGCTTTTCTTTATAATCTCCATTCTGGCCTATTCTGTTTTATTCGAAATTATGTGACTTAAGAATGAAGGCAGATTGATATAATTTAGATGCCAGTACTGTCCTTAATATGCTGCAATTTATTAATTTAATATGCTTCTTTTCTTTCCGTTTTTTAATCGAGTCAAAGACGAAGGAATAAACACCAAACCAACGCACATGAAGGCACGTGTCATTGAAAGCATATGTGTGTGTGTGTGTTTTACATATGCTTTGATCGCACTTTTATTGAGCTTATTTCATCTGCTCTGAATATATACAAACTATTACTAGGATTGTGTGAAAATGTATCTCAACAGCTGCTGACTCTTGTGGCCCAGAAGTTGCAGATGGTAAGCAACACTCCACATTGTTTTACTTGTGGAGTGAGGGTGACTTTTTAATGTGAGAATTCCAGAAATCCCAGTGTAACTGGGCCGGGGGTGTTGATTACACAGCATTTTGTTTCCTGGTGCAGTCACTCCACAGCACAGAAATGTTTTGTTTGGTGCGCATGTCAACACCTTTAGAGCCACACTGTGTACAAAAAATGATTTGAAATCTCTTTCATGTTGGTTCTTTGCAGTAGTAAATCATGTATGTGCAAATTCTTTCATTTTTGAGGGGAAAAAACCCCCACAAACTTGCTTGAGAATTGGATGCCTTCGCTAATTACAGTACACTGCATTACCATAAGCTGCTGATCCCTACGTCCTAGTCCCCAGGGGCAAACAAGAGCCAGTCTGAGTTCAATATCCCATCTGCCATCAGGGGAGGAGGAAGGGGGGAAGGAAAGACTTGCTCTACCCTGCCCTTTTTCAGCGTGGAACTTGAGACTGTGAGGAAGGGAACAGTGTGCAGTGTGGAGAGAAAGAATAATGTGCCGGATCACCTTTTGGTCTCACGAGTTCAAGAAGAACCACAGACTGGCAGAGGCTGTTGACGTGCATTTCCCTAAAGAATAAGACACATAATGTGACAAAATGCAATTTTTGATACTTTGTCATTGGCTTGATTTGTTTAGGTTCACAACAGCATTTTGTATCACAAACAAGTATAACAAGCGCTATTATTATAAACACCATTATTTAAAAATCGAGAGCAGGGTGATAATATCTTTTGGATTCCCAGCTGATGATCCCTTACACAGTACACATAGTGATTTGATCCACTGTTGATATAAAAGTTACCAGAAGATAACACCGCTTTAGTTTTCTCTTTGTTTGAGTTATGACTAAAACTTTCTTTTCAGAAATATGAGTTGCTTTTTAAAAAAAAAAAAATCTTCTCCACTCGAACACAGGATTGCTGCCAATTTTCCTCAGGCAATAGAGCCTCAAGTTCAACACAACAGACAGCAAAAGGCCACACACACACAAAAACAGTGTTATCAGTAGGGATGGCACCGGTTCTGACATAAACGGCAGTAACCAGACCGAAAAGCAGCGCACATTTCGGTGCTTTATTTCGGTGCTTTTTTTTTCCTGAGCTGATACACTTCTAGCCAATCACTTTACGTTTCCGAGGATAGTAGGCGGGGCCAGGTACGTACGTTCTGTTAGAGCAGAGCTACAGATTAAAAATGTCCAAGGCGAAGCGGTCAAAAGTCTGGCTGTACTTCACAGCAAAATATGCAAACTCAGCAGCCTGCAACAAGTGCTTTAAGCTGATACTGTGATACTGTCAAAGGAGGTAACACCAAGAATCCGATGAAACACCTGGTGACGCATAGCGTTTTTTTTAAAGCCCAGAAATGCGCCGTATTTGATAGCTTGCTGCGAGACCTCACACCGAGCACATCTACTGCGGGTGGGTTGCCTGTTATGCAACATCCCCCAAAAACACGAAGAGGAGAGTCCTGGCCCCTAGCCCTGCCAGTGTAGCAGAAATGATGACGGATGATGATGCAGCAGCCGTTCTTCTCTGCGTGAGTAGCTAATTTACGTTGAGTAGGCTAACCACGTTATTACATTAATGCATGTAAGGTGAACTAGCAAACATCATCATAGCTACATGCGGCTGTCTTCTTGTTTGATGGCAGATACTCCCTTCACCCTGGCTAAAAAGGCTAAAATGACCAAAGAAAAAGTGGAAAACAGTTAAACATGAGAGGTTTAGGACAAAGTTTGTGTTTTTTCCATTGTTTAAGCACTGCTTCCAGCCAAGAGTGATACCATATATGCCCCATAGCTGCAGAAAAGGCTAACATTGTTATATTTTTACAAAAAACAGCTGAACATGAGAGGTTTTTGGACCAATTTTGTGTTCTCCATTCTTTAAGCACCGGTTTGAGCACCGTTTGAGCACCGGCACCGTTTCAAAAGTACCGATTTGGCACCGGTATCGGATAAAACCTAAACGATACCCATCCCTAGTTATCAGAGACAATTGCTTTGGACACACCGGTCAAAATGAACAGCAGGCTAACGTGAACATAAAACCCTTTGGATTTTACCTCCATTGCAACTAACTTCGCTAGTGCCAAACTCTTTTGAGCTTAAAACACAGGAGGTATGTTGGTGCACTGTAAGGCAGTATGCAGACTAGATGACCCTAAAGTCAGTTAACTGCAGTGGACAAATCTAGTGGGAGGATTTCGGGTTGAGTTATGAGACTCTTATGAGGGTGAGATATGAGATGGAGAGGCAGCCTGTGGTGAGTAGCGATAAGTGATGAAAGGATCGACGGGTTACAGTGAAAAAGCACCAGACTGTATATTCTTCACTCAAGTCTAGAGCCTCAAACACACTTTTCTTTTGTGTAATGTGTATGCGCAAGTGTGATCCCACTGAAACTGCATACCAGATGAAAGTTAACTTGGCACTGTTTCTTTAAAAGTCAATAGTGACATCAGTCTTCTTCCCACTTACTTTTATTAAATCTAATAGAGATTGAGATACTGTAATAACTTGGACACTTCCCTATCCAAGTCAGCCATCAACCCGTCAAGTTATTCAGACACCCTAGTGAGAGAAAACACACATGCACAAACACGTAAATGTTAAAGCTGATGATGAAACGTTGATGTTTTGACCAGTTAGACTATCAGACATCCACTTTCTCTGCTTAATGATCAGAGGATTTTGCAGGTTAAGAGGTCAATCAGATAAGCCTAGAAACCATCTGGTACCGAACATGAGGGAAAATTGTGTATTCCCTGACTGGTTGCAACTGGTTGCTGGCAGTCGTTGTAAAAATTGATTTCTAAAGCCCCATTCATGCAGGCCTAGCAACCACTCTTTGAGTGGTAGGGGAATAAATGGTATAGGAACTGATTCTTATATAGGGCTTTTCTACTCTACCTGAGCACTCAAAGTGCTTTATACAGCATGCCTGATTCACTCATTCATACAAGCACATTTGTCTGTTCCTAAGTGCTTTCTATCTAACATTCACAAAAGCTGCTCTCCAGTGCATCCATTACCAAAGACTACAGGTCCGAGTAGTCAGAGATCAAACCACCAGCCAATAAGCAGATGACCTGCTCTACTCCCTGAGCCACAGCCAGCAAGTGGTTGCAGATGGTTGCGTGGTCTCACTAGCATGAAAATAGGCACAATGACGTATACAGTACTGCACTGAAAACCTCCTTTTGATTACTTTGTCACTAGCAGGTCCAGCGCTTGACAGTCAAACCATTACAAATGACTCGCCAAATTATAGTGAAACTGCAAAATGTGCAATGCATATGAGAAACTGAGAATGTTTACCTTCAGAGTAAAAGTTGTACCTTTTGAAATGTGTTTCACAACTTTTCTTTGTTTGCATCAACATCATTGAAATATAACTATAGTTCGAGAGTGAATACCAAGTGTCTACAGACAAGACGGCATCTCCCATGCAAACTACAAGTGACTGTAGCAACCTCCTAGCAGAAAAGCAATCACGAAGAGTTTTTATGTGCAGGACCCACAATTTCACCTGGCGAGTAGCCACAGCCAGTAACCAATCACAAACTGGTTAGGATCTACCACATATGATCTAAGTATGCAGTACCTTTTTTGGGTTAAAGTTTTATTACTGTCGGCGGCTAATGCCATAGAGGTTTATCAAAATCTATAACTAGTGACAGTTATGTACTCCACAGCACATTTTTCATTACTATTAGAAATGTATATCCCGAATGCTTTTCACCTCACTCCACCCATTCATGGCATCAGACAGAAGTCATTAACTTTGAATATTTCATATACCATATTTTATCCATAAATGTTTTCATTACATCATAAACTCCTGGAAAAAAAGGGAGAAAATATATATACTGTAAACAACAGCAACAAGCCACCTCTATTTGTACAATAATGAAAATATTCCACCTACTGCACATGTTCAGAAACTAAATCAAATAGCCCAAGTGACAAATCCAGAGTCGCAAGATAGACATCTGACTTGGAATACATACCAGTTCCCCAACCCATCCCCCATTCTAGTTATTGAATTAAGACACATGGTTTGGCTTTGGGACAAGGCTCGCTTTGTCTTTGCAATGTGGAAAGCCACTGGTGGAGTGTGGTGCTGTCAGGGTCTTATGACAAACCAGAGGATGGATGATCATGCCAGACTCAGTCAAACACTTATACTGGGACTAAATGAATGACTTGGTGTGATTGTATATGCCATTGTGAAGCTTTTTGATAAGGAAAAGTGCAGACTGACTAGCAAGGTAATTGCAACAAAAATAAGATCTTGTGAGCTCTGTACATCAGCTAGAGACCTCTGTGGATCCTTACTAAAAACAGCCAGGGATTCCCCCACTTTAACTGCCTTCCTGAACTCATCAGACATCTGCTCATAATTATCAGGCGTTATATATGGATTATATTTAACAAGCCAAAATGTTATTTTGGACA